GTAAGAAGGGGAGTGCCGCTGCCCGTCGGCCCGGCGCTCCCCCCTGGCCGCCTTGATCTGGGCTTCCCCGCGAGCGAGTGGGAGCTGTGGGGAGGCGAGAGGGGCCCAGGAGAGGCGTGCGTGTGTTCCTGCTCGTCGTGCCGCGGTGTGGGCGAGGGTCGGTCCGGCGGCTCTGTGGTAACTTGCCGGAGCTTTGCTGCTCGGGCCTCCTGGCGCGACGGGGGTTGATGCCCCTTCTGCCTCTGCCCTAGCTGCGGCCGGGAGAGTTGAGACTCACCAGGGTGAGGGAGCAGCCTCGCTTCTACAGCCCTGCTTGCTTTCATTCCGCCTTCCGTAAGTGACTTCTAGAACCCAAACTCCAGGCCGCACTTCCTCTCCCGTGAAAGATGTCTTTTAAAGGGGCTCTTTCGGTTTAAGGCTTCCTGCCCTTTGCTTGAAGTCTGTCATCTGCCAGTAGATGGTTCACTTCTGTATCAAACCTTGTACGTCACTTGTTTGATTCGCAGCTATGCTTCTGCTGTCTGATCTCTCTACAAAGGCCTGTGGCTCTCCCAGTTCTTGACTACACAAGAACTTTCATCTTGCTCTGCAGGCTGAGACCTCCTTATGAAAAGTCCATTTTCCACTCTCTGCCACCTCCTCTGCCAATACATACGCATGTTATCTCGATTGGGTTTTTAGAAAACCGTTGTGACTGGCCTTTACTCCTCTCTGTACTTTTGTCCCAAAGGGCTAACATTGTTCCTGCCTGTTGTCATACCTCTTATTGTTTACTTTCTTTGATGATACAAGCAGTGACTTTCAAATGCATCTACATTTTGTCTAGTTAAAACCTTGGTAAAGTCCTTGGCATGTATCTTGATTAATTCTTGGAAAAAATAATTTGAATACATCTGAATTACCTCTGAATACCTTTCTGAGAAAAGTATTTATGTTGTGATTAGCAAGATGACTTCGCATTATGAGCAATTGTACATTTCAAGGGTCGACACTGATGGCACTATTTTGTGGTATATGATGCTAATGTCAAGAACTTATCCAGTGTTTTTATAGTAAAAAAAAAATTGATTTGTGTTTTTCTGATAGTTAAAAATGTGTTTTCTAACTCTAATGTGGTTAGTAATATTCAAAACTAGCATTTTCACACTTGATAATTTTATTAACATTTGAAAACCTCTCTTTTCCCAGGAATAATTTATATTATTCATTGTTATGTCAGACTTGGTACCTTAAATAGGCAGTAGACTATTATTTTTATTAGGGACATTTTAACCCAATTACATACGTATATAGTAACACATGTAGCTGGTGCCTTAACGTTTAGAAGATATGTGTACCTAAATCAGTATTTAGGGATGTATACAGAAAGTTATTTTTGCATGCTTTTTAGTAAAATACTTTCATTCTTCTTACCGGAAATGGAATTAATTTCCCATGTTCTTGCTTTGCTGTTTTACGTTTCTGTTCTTTTCTGTTATTGATTCTGCTTTGGTTTTTGTGTCCTCAATCTACTTGCTCTTCTGTTCATTCCTTATCCTGGCCATTCCTCAAATTGTTACTGTCTTCTGTTGTAACTGTACCCAACCAGCCTGTTTCACTCTGGCCTGCTCTGCTGAGCACTGTAATGCTGCTCGGGTTTCTGTAGGCTACCCTAAAGGCAGGCTGTAGCTAATTTCACTTCTGCTGCAGGTCTCAAAGTACAGAAGTAAAGGGGAGCAGCGCAGGATTAGAAAATGTGTGCATTTGAACGATGGAGTGACAAGACTGTCAAAATTATCCCATGCACTGTGTAGGATACATAAGAAGAAGCATTTTTTTTTCCTGGTACGCTTATTCAGATTTTCTTGATTGATTGTTCATGTCAGTCTTTGCACCTGGGGATTCTAAACCTTGATATTCTGTCCTATAGGAATGAAAATTAAAAAGCATAAAATGTTTTTAATCTTTTTCTATTATAGGAAACAATGTTCTAAGAATGTCATCAGGCATCCAAAGAAAAACAAAGACTGCAGGACAAAGCAAGACATCTTCTCCTTTGCCATGTTGTCCAGAACCTGCAATTAAACCACAGCCAAAGCCTAGTGACAAGCTGAATCCTAAAACTATTGATCCGGTATGTATAGGTAGTGGGTTTTCTGTTTGTTTGTTGGAAGAAATTTCCTTATTTTATGAAATACATGCAGGACAAGCTGCTTATGGTCCTGTTTTATACATTTAAACTAAACTTTTGGTATTAATCATACATTTCCTAATTTGTAAGCTCAAATGTCTGAGGCGTAACATGTTTTTTACTTTTTTAAAAAAGGGGTTCTGGTACAATTGTGGCTTGGATGGTAACTTTTTTATTTACTATTTACTTTTGCTCTAAAAAGAGATTTAGTGCTAAGAGTTAAAAAGGGTTGGGGTTTATTTTGGTATAGTTACAAATTTTAGCACCTGCTGCTTTAGAGAAACTGATCTCAGTTATGCAATGAAACCAAGAATCAGGTAGCATCTTGAAGATCATCAAGACATTAATAAAATCTAGCAGATTACTTGCTAGTGTGCATTATTTGGAACTCCCAAGTACTGTGAACGTGTAATACACTGGGAAGAATTTGGACTTTCAGGAGAAGACTGATGAAAGGAGGAAATAAACATTTCACAGAAGTCCTGCACCTGGAGAACTAGCTTTGAGTGGGTGAGCTATAGCTCACCACTGGGCCATATCAGCCAAACAATTAGTAATGTCACAGACTTTGGAAAATGAACTGAATGCGAGAGTACTTTAATGAGGTACTAGTTTGTCATAAACAGAGTCTGGATACTTTCATGAGGGCACTTTTTTAGTGGAAACCTTTTTGGAAGTAGTACAATGACTTAATTAAGCCAAGAAGTCATCAAATCATGCACACAATTTTAACAATATAGGTTCAGACACTCAAAAGATAAGAATTAAGATTTCATGGTATTTCCTGCTATATGCTTTGTGATAAGGTGTTTAATCTGGGAAGTAGCATTGAATGATCGTGGTAATAAATATCACAGTTCATATGCATAAGAAGCATGTATATGATAAAAAACCAACTTTGTGTAGGCTTTCCCCCGTGGAGCTCCTAGTTTACTTCTCCAGTGAGTCCTTCCTGGATTCTCAGCCAGTATGAACCTCCTCACCGATTTCCAGTGCCTTCAAGCCACCTTGCCCAACATTTGGTGTTTCTCCCACATCTCGCCACCTTGTACTTTTGTCTGTACTCAGATCAAGATGGAATTGGAGTAAATCTGCCTTCTGCATGTTACCAGTATAACAGGAATCAGGAAACATCAGGAAAGTGAGAGGTCTTAATCTGTTAAGGAGAGAACCCATAAGACTTCAGTGTCAGATTTGCAAGAGAAAATAGGAAAATAAGGGTAGTCCATAAGGAGAGCACTGATTTACATTATTTTCACAACTTTTTCACAACTTCCTAGCCATCCAATTCTGAATAGCAGTTTTCTGATAAAGGTACCAAATATGTTTTCCACCCCATAGCTGTAGTTCTTTTTTTTTTATTAGTTTTAGAATATATGACTAAGTTCCTTTTTTGTTGAACTGCAGTTTTAACATATTCATAATAGTTATCAAACAGAACTGTTATGAATAAATAGTGCTCTTTTTTTTTTTTTCCTGTCCTCACAGTTCGATTCTTACTCTCGACCGTCTTCTGCATTTGCTGCTATATATGCTAAAGGTGGCATTCCATGCAGGTGTGTTGGTTTTGTTTATTTTTTTTACTAAATATGTTATGGGTGTGTAGAATTACACAGGTTGAAATGCATCTATTCATGTTTGATCTGTTAGTTAGGCTGTTTGATTCCATTAATTTCTGAAAAGATTTGCGATGCTTAACTCTTTTCAAAGCAGAAGGCAATTTTCCGTGTCTTCTTTTGGTTCTTTTTTTATGCTGTGTTAATACTGAAGCTGCATTTTTAAAGAATAGCTAGGTATTTGCAGATTTGGTTTGCTAAACCTCTTTCATGAAAGAAGCGATTTCTTCAGGTAATGGTGTTTACTTCCCGCTACGACCAAGACAATAAAATTAGTGCCATTTTAGTAAGCAGACCTCTTGCTGTATGACAACATTTGCACGAATATTCCAATTCTGTTGTTGTCAGCAATATCAGATATTAACAAAACTACTTGTGAGTAATAGTTTGTGGTATTTTAAGTTACTTTTGTCTATTATATATTTGCCTAGACCCTAAGCACTCTAGTGTTTCTTCAAGTGGATGCAGAACTGCTTTACAAAAATTTAAGTAATCATTAATACATGTATATACATGTATAAAATAATCATAAATACCTAGTCTTTATCTATATTCTAGGAGTAACTGATGAATTCCAATATGATTTTCTTTCAGTTTCAACTGATTTCCCTTTCCAGTTGTTATTTGCGGAATATGTTTCTTGGTATTTATCAAAACAAGTAACTTTGCAAAGAGAGCGTCTTGTGTGTCAGTATAAGAGGCATCTATAACTTTTATATTCTCATGTCTGTATGACTGGGGGCAGAATTTTGAAAACTGCCGTATTTGAGAATTACAATAATTGCACTATTAAATACCTTTATACATTTCACTAAGGAGAGCAGCATGTATTGAAATTGTTTCTATAACATTATAGTAATATTGCAGACCAATTGTGATACATTTAAAGTGAATAGTGTTAGCAATAAATTGTGTATTAGTATATGTCAATTTGTTAAAACTTTGTTCTTTATATAGGTTAGTGCATGGCTCAGTAAAGCACAGGCTGCAATGGGAATGCCTTCCTGAAACTGTTCCTTTTGATCCTCTACTTGTAACACTGGCAGAGGTAAACTCAATTTTCTTGCAAAGTTAAGGATACAGGATTTGCTAATTCCAAATGGCATTTTGTAACAAGCTAAGCTAGCTGACTTTGACTCACCTACTAGGGAAATATGAAAAAAACATTTGTGAGGCTCTTGTATGAATAAAGATGATCAAGAAAATTGCCATTTGTAGTTCTTGAGTTAGAACATTGTAGGAGAACTAGGTAGAGCTACTTAATCTTTGAGATACTGGTCAAATATAAGACTGCATCTCAGATTCCCAACTGTTGAATGAAATTTTTCAATCCATTTGTGGCTTTGTGGGTTCTTTTGTAAACAAAATTGTTTTGATTCTTTTTGTATATAATGCCAACCTATTGAAGTAAGGGTGCTCTCCTTGACAGATTGAACTAATGTAGTGGAAATATGATCCTGTAAAGAATTGAAAGGGAAATACTAGACGTTATGTTCAGGCTTCTGTTTTCTCAGCATCATCTGTGACATTTATCACCAAATACGTTTCAGGAGTCTAAATAAATATTGAATCCAGTGTGATAGGTGGAATAAAGTGCATACTGTAGAGGTGGCTTTTTTCTTCTTTTTCTTTCTTTTTTTTTTTTTTTCCCCCTTAAGATTAAACAAAGCTGTCAATTCCTAAAGTAACTTAGAGCTCCTATTATGGAAAGAAGAAAGACTTCAGCCATAGGTCTTTAAATCTTGGAGTTCTGCCAGTCAGATCTTCCCTAGAAGTGCCTTTTTGTACCTTCTACAAGTTTTCGGTGTTGCAGAGGGGTGTGTGTGGTGGGGGGTGTCTTTCCTTCCACAGTTCACCTGCTGTTTTTTTTTTTTCCTTCAGGTTATGAAAAACATTTACAAATACAGCCTATGCCTGTTCATGGTCTTGTTGAAAAATTACCTTGGGTAGTTAGACGCAAGGTAGTGAAGTACAAATATTGCTTGAATTGGCAGTATTCATAATGTGAGTTTTAATATTCAATGTTCAAAAAGACAAATTAAAAAAAATATTCTGTGAGCAGAGTTGTACTCAGTGGCACCACATGGTGGAGTTAGTGTATTTTATCTTTTGAACTGATGTAACAAAATCTAAACATCTTGCTGCTATGTGGAACTTTTTTAATGTGCTTTTGATTAAAAGAAGCTTCACTGTTAAGCAAACATTTTTTGCATTTGCAACAGGGTCTGAGAGAGACAAAACATCCCTATACATTTGTTTCAAAGGAGGGTTTTAAAGAATTACTTATGGTTGGAGGTGCTGCTGAAAAAGCAATTCCTTTGTTGCCTCGTCTAGTTCCAGTGTTAAAGGCTGCATTGGTATGTCCCACTCTTCATGCAGAGATTCTAAGGGTTTGACTTTGTGTTTTTTTTTTTTTCTTTTTTTCTTGTGCTGGTGAGGACTACATGGAAAATATTAATGTGACAAATTTATTGCATGGGCTTTTGAGTTGGGGTTTGGGGGGCGGGAATAGTTTCTTTTTCTCATGTTAACCCTGCCTTGGTTTTGTTAGCTAAATCCGTCTTTAACTGTAAATTCAGATGGGCTGTATGACAGTAGCTATGGGCAAATTCTGTGGAAATGTTCTATTAAAGATCTGAATATAAGCAGAAATAAGTACATGTGTTGTTGGTGGTTTTGCATATTCACATAATAACGTGAAAAAAAAATGACTGAGGTGAAGTAAAATGGAGATGTGGAAATAGATAACCCTTCTGTTACATTTAAAAATTCAAAACTTGCTACAAGGGTAAAACAGAATATACCAATGAGGAAAAGGGAAGAATACAGGTAAAATGTTTGAGGTCATATTCTTCATTTTAAAAATGTTTTTAACTTTTCTACTCATTCAGAAAATAAAGCGAGGTAGAAGTATTGGCCTCAAAGGTAATCGTTTTTGGATCTTTTTCATATCTTTCAGAGCCCTTTTTTGGTTCAGCTACTTGTTGTCCTTTAATCTAGCTGTGTTTCAGTTCTGGTTTTATCGAGATGGCTGAAAGTTTGAAAATTTGAGATCAGAGGTGTAATAGAAGATCAGAAGTGTGTCTTACCAGTATCTTTGGTTTAGTAGGGAAGACAAAATTAGAAAAAATTATCCTTGTCCTTCCAATTACTGTTATCATCTGGTAATTTTCATTGTTGCACTGTTTTGGTATAGTCTTGTTAAACCTTCTACTGCACAAGAAGTCGATGACTTCTAGTTAAAAAAAAAGTTCAGGGCCCAAATGGCAGAGTGGAAAAATAATAGTTTAAATAAAGGTCAGTATTAGTAAAAGAACAAAATAAATTGTTATGAATCAATTTCTCTGCTAAAGGAAGAGTGACATTAAACCATTAGAGAACTCTATATAGAGAGAAAGTATAGAAGAACCTTCCCATGGGAGAAATAAAGATGACAAAGTGCCCTCTAAGTAGATAAGAGCCTGATAATTTCTGTCAGGTGATAAGCTGTAGTTGGCAGGGAACTAAATTAATTGAGCCGGAAAGTCATTGGCTCCTGTGTTTCTCCAACAAAGACAATTATTGTTATGAATTACATAGAAATTACCCTGGATTTATTACATTTGTAACTAAAATGTTGTCTCCCAACTTCAACGTAGCTGCATTTGAAGGGTCCTCTATAATATGCTGTGAAGCACCGCAATTCTTCGTGTAGTAAACTGTTTGTTTTGCCTTTTTGAATTTTTTGTTTCATCAATAATAAATTATTAGTTTCCTTGTCTCAGAAAAAATGCAAGAGTTTCACTGACATTTTGTGGACACTTTTGTTTTCTACTTTAAAAATATACTTCGTTTTTAAATGTTACCTCTAGATGCTAATATTCAGTCATGTTGTACTTGTATTTCTAAACTTGTAACATTATAACAATTAGCAGTTGCACAGTAGTTTTAATTTTTAAAAATACTATATAGAAACATCATGTAGAGATTGCAGTTTTGCAGAACTTGTGCATTTGTCTGAATATTACTGACAGGATTTTTTTTCTCCCTCTGAAGGCGCATTCGGATGATGAAGTATTTGGAAGGGGATTGGATGCTTTAGTTCAACTGAGTGCTGTTGTTGGCCCATCTCTTAATGATCATCTTAAGCATCTACTCACAAATGTATGTTTTTAATGCTGTAGTAAAAAAATAATTGTTTTTAAGGTTTCCATAAATGAACATAAGCAAATATTCCCACTTCTTTCAGGTGGGAATTCTGCACAAGGAAGTTTTCATGAAATAAACTTAGAGTGGGATTATGGAAAGTATTTTTATACTGAGTCCTTCTGTAGACCCCCTTCCTCTGTCAGACAGGCTTTTCATAGTTTTGTTTAGCCAGCTTCTCAAGTGCACTTTTACACCAAAATAAAATGACCTTTTAGACATCCAATGCAGAGAAACTGCAGTAGGTTTTTTTAAAAGTAATTTCCACTATAATAAATCTTATTCAGTACACGTGAAAAACTTGTTAACTTTTCATGTGGACAGCACTTTAAGAATTATTTTTTTTTTTTAAAGTTGATACCTCTTTAAAATTTGACAAAAGAAAAAAAAAAAAGTATTTTTTTGGCTAACAGTGGAGCTTTCTTTGAATTTAAGTTTCCCATCAGTTGACACTTTATTCCTTTTGCCTTGACTAGCTTCCGTACTTTGACATCAGATACAAGCTATAAAGTGATGTTTCTTTTTGGCTTTAATTTTCCAAAGATAAGATGAAATAAAGTAATAAAATAGAATTGCCCTCTTTGCATATATTGTACTATATTGTGCAACAAGTCTTTTTATTTATTTTTCCACTAGCTTTCTAGGAGATTAATGGACAAGAAATTTAGAGAAAAAATTACTGTTACTTTGCAAAAGTTGGAGCAATATGGTGGCAAGGTGAGTTTGATCAGATGATTACTCTGTAATCTGCACATTTGAACGCAGCTTTGCCAAAACAACTTCCATCTCTGGCTTCCAGATTAAGAACCCCATTCTGAAAACTGCTTATATTTACATGTCACAGCTATTCATATTGCATAAAACACAGGATTTTGTGCTGTGGCAATCAGCAGAGTTGTGTTACAGTCCACAGTAAAATAGTTGTTTTAGTGTGTTCGATGTATTGAGTGATAATAGAAATTACATTAAATCTACTCTGGGTAATTCATATTCTGCCAATGAGGTTTGGAGCCTAAATACTTTCCTCCACAGGATTTACTCTTGCTGAAAGATACTTTTTGCTGTTATTGATGATGCCTTCCCATTCCCACTAATAGGTTATTGTTTAGGTCACTAAGTGAGGAAATCAGATACTGACATTCCAGCCCACCCTGGTTAACCCAGAGGTTAGATCTGCAATTGCTATAAATCAAAAAAATGCTTTAAGTAATAGATGGCAGAGTATTCTTCTACTGAACATCCTGTTGCCATTTTCTGTTGTGCTGTACATTGCATAGAAAGGAGGAGAGAAGAAAATGTGAGAGAATACTGGCTTGGATATTTATCTAGAAGAGAAGATATTTGCTTTCTTGACCCTATGAACGCTTGCATGTATTATATTAAATAATCATCGGTAAAGAATAGGAATAACCTAAAGAGTAGGGACCATAAATACAGGTCTACCAGTTTTGAGCTTGTGTGCTTTAATCAGTAGGCCCCCAAAGAATCAGTAGACACCACTTCATTATTTTTTTTCTTTGGTGTGCTCATAGTCATTTAAGGGCAGTAGCAGTGTTCATATTATAGACTTGAAAAACACCACAACGAATAAAGAAGCATGAGAATTATTTATATGTAGTGAGAAAGAAAAGGAAAATTATGACTCATCTTGATGGTCTGAAACTTTAGGTCTAGATAACGTATCTAATCCAGTGAATCGTTAACCTCTGATTCTTCTGTGTGTATGTTGGTTTCTTGTAGTCTTACCGGTTTTGGGAGTAGGTCTTTCTGAGTGTCTTTTAAAAATACTGTAGTAAGATAAAGCAGAAAACTGGAAACAAACTTCTAAACTGTGATTACAAGCAATATTATCTAATCCAACTAATGAATTATCTATCAAATTCCTATTGTAAATGAGGTATAATGTATAAGATTCTTACTTTTATTGCAAGTCTCTTCCAGAATATCATTCTATTTAAAAATCTTTATTATTTCATGTCTATATTTATGCTTAGTTTTAAGTATGAGTTTGTCACTCCTCTCTTGGATGTTTATGCTCCAGCATTAGTTATCACAATGCTCCATTTTTTCAGATCATTAATTTCAGCCCTTTTGACAGTAAATTTCTCAGCAAATATTTCCTTAGTTTTCCACTGTTTTATAATAATGAAGATAACTAAGTAAAAGTTGTGAATTATGCAATTTATAGTGAATATATGAATACTCTCATATGTAGCGCTAGTGCTCCTTATTTTGTTTGTTTTATTTTCAACAGGCAACTGTGGCTATCATCAAATCTAAAATTCCAACCTATTGTTCTATCTCTTGTTGAACAAGAAAACTGTAGTGATTTGTACTGTAAGGTGAAGTTTGGAAAGAAACTGCCTGTGAACATCACTGACACTTATTTGGGGTATGATATATTCTCTTAAAATAATCACAGTTCTTCAGTATGATGGAGAATAGGAAACAGCCTATCAGTTTGTGAATATGTAATTATAGAAGACCACTTTAAAAGATTCTCTGTATTGTCTCCTATTTGCGTATGCATTGTGCTTACAGTGACATTGACTAACCGGCTATTATTTCAAAAGCAGAGTAAATACTGATTCTTATTTTGTTGTAAATTACAATTTCTTTTAATATATCTGCAGTACTTAATATGTTTTGTACATTGGTGTGATGCAGAATAATTTAGCTGCAATTACTTAAATAGTAACTAACTTGGTGTTAAAGTACATACGTATACCTGCTTTCGAAATTAGTAACTTTGTGCCACAGGCACAAACGGATGCAGTTTGGGTTCATCAGGACTTCCTGGGTTAGACGTAGAACTATGAGAACTCATCTAGACTTTTTGAGAGTCATCTTTTAAAGGTATGAAGCTGAACACACGGAACAGGTAGCGTATGGTACAAAACTGAACTTGCTCAGTGTATTTTGTTTCAAGAAGCTGAAGAGGGTCTGGAGAGTACAGTGCAGAGGCATCAGGTTGCGCCACAGAGCCACAGCCTAGCTTTTGCTCAACTAATCAGTTCCAGTCAGCTTTGGGCCTACTGAATGTGAGCTAGATGTAGGCAACAACTTCGGAGTATTTACACCATGCTCCCTTTGCACTGAGTTCTGCAATGCTGCAGATATGCTTGGGACTAGCTTGTGAATTCCAGCTCCAGACAAGCTAATAAACTTCTGAACGTGGAAGCTATGAAAAAAATATGAGTTAAAGACAATAAAAAGACTGCAGAAGCCAGCTTACCTGCTGTCAAGCCTTGTAGGGCACAGCTTTTGTTCATGAACGTATGTGAACTCGATTGCAAAATGATTCCTAACAGGTCTTGTAATAAACACTGTTGATGTTATTATGGGTATTTGAGCTACTCTGTGAGCGAGAGATGACTGAAGTAACAAAATCTGCCGTAGAACTTTTTCCCCTGAGGAAAATTCAATTCTGGAATTTAAGGGTGGAGGGGAGGGTTTGTCATCAGAAGATGCTGTTGCATAGGGTATTAAAAAAGTCTGTCATGTGAAAGCAATTTCAGAATTTTTGGAAAATTACTACTGCTTGGCTAAATTAAGTTTACTTCAGGACTGTGCTAAGATCTCTGCTGAGATCAGAACTGTGCTAAGTCAAGTTCTATGTATTTAAGCTTTTAAAAAAACCCACTTTTGTTGGCAAAAATGTTTAATTTGAAGAAATACAAGTGCTTAATAACTCAAAAACTCGATCATGCTGCTTGTTTTTCTTCATGTTTATTTTTTTTTACAAAATGTGCACATTTAGTTTACACAAACACGCTACAGCAGATTTCAGGTGTACATGTATTGTACTACTCTTATCCTACACTGGTGATAGCAGAGCAGCCTTCAACATGCCTCTAACATCCCATCTCTACACCAGAATAGATACCTGATTTATTTTTGCAAAAGAATGCTTGCAACATTCTTTCTACTTCATTAAACCCCTTTCACATTTTCTGCAGCACTGTCACAATGAAGATTGGCCTATCTCTGATAGCGTTTCACCTATTTTGAAGTATTTGCATAAACTCTGTGGACAATCTGAAATCTTAAAATTTACATGGATGGGGGCGCAGTATTATATTTTAGGTACATGTACTCTTTTAGAAAATACTTTCTAGGTTCAGAATTAAGGTAGTTCCAATCTTAATGAAGAAGTGATCCTAAAAAAAGTGTAATGCATTTATCACATATAGATGAAACCATATAGCTGAAGTTTCCAATTTTTTCCTGACTGTCTCATAATTAAAGATTTTACAAAAAGCTGAAACAGATGTTAGCCTGTCTAGCAGTCATTGTTAGTAGATGTTACTACATAGTGATATTCATTCTGAGCACTGAAGTGGGATGGAAGTTTCAAAAGAAGTTCATGCCTTTTTTTTCATTAAAGGCAAAAAGACATGTACTCATGAAAATAGTGTTAGGATCCAGTTAACATTTCTTCATGAAAAAACGAAAGTCAGAAGATCCTTAATTTTAAGCGAAAAACTTTGTGGACACATATAAGAAGAGTTAGAACTAGAGTATGTAGGACTCCTGATATTCATGTCATGATAAATTAAGTGCAGATTTACTGGGTAAGTGTGACTGACAGGAGCTTACTCATGTTTGTTAGGGAGTAAACCTACATATAAGCAATTTCTTATTTTGTTCCATAACAGTTCTTCCTCTCCAGTTATCTATTTTGTTAAGTTTGGGTTTGGTTTTTTTGAAGAGAAAAGCAAGTCAAAGGTGGAAGGCAATTGCAGCAAGATGTGCATTGCACATTGATTACAGCACTTTAACTCCAAGTATTATTCAAAAAATGAGGACTGCGCCATATAAATGTGAAAAGAATATACATGGTAATGCCTCTGTATAAATTAGAAGCTAAGATTTAAGAAATACAGTCAAACACCTGGAGCTCAAGCCAGTACAAATGACTAGCAAAACATTATTTATTTAATCTCCTTGTGATAGTACCTATTTTATCTAGGGGTTGGAATGATAATAAAGCTGCATAATGTCAGGTCTTATTTTGTTTGGGTTTGGGGTAAAAATCTATCTTTTCAGAACAACCATGTTAACTAAGTAGCCACTATTGAAGTGCTAAATTGTATAATTTATAAAGTTTTTTTGTTGGGAAAAGTTTATAATAAAAAATTTATTTGCATAATACATGTCTCAGTGTAAAGCTGAGTAATTTTATTTATGATAAAGTGGGAAATCCATCTTTTAGATAATGTTGCAGAATAGCTCATATTTGTCCATTAGTTTGTAGACCTAATGTCTTCATTAAATCACATTTTCAAAGAGCTGCATGGATCGCATTATATTCTCATCCTGTAAAAAAGACAACAAAAAAAGCAAAAATCACACACCATTACAAATGTATCTGGCCAATATCTATAGTGAAATTGGGTAGAACTAACTGTATTTTAGTTACTGACAACATTATTTTTCAGCTTGTTTGGAGAAATTGTTAGCAGAAACAGGCTGTTAATGGATCTGTGCTTAAATAGGTTTCTGTATATATTAATTAAACCAAAATATTGTGTCAAGAATACAGTAGCATGTTAAGAAAATTGTCTGCAGTATTTCAGAGGTTATAAGTTTATAGCTAGTATAAGAAAATAGATATAGACAATAAATACACAAGGAATAATTGCTGTTTCTGAAGCGTGAATCCGTACATGAAATTCCTAGTCTTGTGTATCATACACAGGAGCTTTTTGTGAATCTAGGGCATCCTATTGCACAGCTAGGGATGACTCCAAAATAAAATAAAGTGTGCATCTCTGCATGAACCGAAGAGGTGGTCAGTTCCGCAAATATCACCCCCAACACTCTGACTCCTCAGCTTAGATTTTCTGTGTGTTCACTCTGAAAGATGTTGACTGCTTTCCAATGCTACTTCTGCTTTCCGATTGCTTTGCATTAAGTAGGTAATAAAACATTCAGCTTCCAAGTTCTGCATAATGGTTACTGATGCATCACTCCGTACCCCAGTTTTTATCGGTAAATAACTCTCAGCACAGCAGTGAGGAAAAAAATACTGGTTTGGGAAGATTTACCTTTCAGTGTATAGAAGAAAGAGTTTACTTGTAGTAGCCCATATTTGGTGGCGCTTCTGGATCAACAGTTGGTTGCACAATACAATCAAATATATATACACAATATAAGAAATAATTACATGCTTATTTAGAATTTGCTGGTCTTCACAGTAACGATCCTCTTTTGTAATCTGAATGCACACCCTTTAGCACTTTCTTGAGAGATAATCTAGCCATCTTTAATTCTAGTGAGTAAAAAGACTGAATTTAATAGAATAGGAAGTTTCATGAAAGGTGCATAAAACCCCCACTTCTTAGAAAGTTTATCTCATAGTATTCTCTGCTACTGATATGTAGGCCTTCTGTACATTAATGTTCCAGTAATGCATGATCAGTATCAATTTCCAGTTAAATTACTCACTGTTCAGTCTAGTGAGTGATTTGCTTTGTAGAAAGTGACAACTTTGAGTAATTTTTTTAATTTATGTTACGAGACACACACAGTGGGGTTTTTCATTTTTGATTCCGTGTGTCTTCTCAAGTGATGTTGCTGTAAGAAGTGATCTGTGCACTACGTTGTGCTCATAAACTGACTTATGAAAGCAATGATATTTAATTTCCAAAAAATACATTATGTTGATTATCAATGCTTAAAAAGTTTGTATAGGAAATTTACTATATTAAATTACTGGAAATTAAAATAAACTAACTTTTTCCCACTGCGTTGTCTTGAAATATCAATATACCATTGAAGATCACTGATTAATGTAAGGTTAAAGTTTGGTTTAACTCGAGTCATTTGTCAATTATTTACAGAAGTTTTTATATATATACATTGGCAACTAAGCTCAGCAAATGTGTAAAGCAAACATACTCTTAATTTAGTGTTTTAACACTTACTACCAATTTTATATGTATCATCACTAATGAAACTATTACTTTTCTAAACTCAGCTCCATATTTCTGAAGTTTGCTGTTTCTATACAGAAGACATGCAATGCCCCTCATTTAGTCAGTCAAATGGAAAGAGTCTTCACAAGAAAATACAGGCTTGTCATAATATGTGGAACATGGTGACTTTTAGGTAGCTTTTTTCCATCTTCAAAAAAGAAAAAAAAAAGCAGATGCTTGCATTAGAATTCTTTGACAGGTGTATCTTTCTCGTTTGCCTCTTTTTTCAGTACATTTTTTCTGAACATTTTTTTCATAATCCATTTGTTTAATGATTCGTAACTCAAGACATTAGGAGGTGTTAGTGCATATGAACCACAAAACATGGATGAATGAGCTTTGCCAGATCTGACCTAACTTCAAGCCAACTTTGCAGTTTTTCTTACTGAAGTTTGAGATGGCTCCTCTGTTGTTCTCAGGCTAGCCCAGACCATCAGCATTGTGTGCGGAATGGGTTACTCCTGCAGAAAATATATCCCAGAAACCTTTTTATCATTATCAGAAGGACCTTCAAGTCCTTCACCCTGACATCTACCTGTGCACCATGCATGCCTTAGTCCTTTGCCACTGTTCTTCATGGTACTGCTGTGGATATGAAGTAATGCTTGAGACAGAGCATTTTCCACCAGCATCAAGCAGTGGAATGAGGCAGGTGAGGAACTGGGTGGTGCCGAGCCCTTGAGTTAGCGACACTACTGTTTCCCAGGACCTCTCTTTGCTCTTTGGTAACTTACAGAAAGGAGGACAGACAGCCGCTGCTGTTTGGACTCAGCCCAGCATACCTAGGACAGGATAGTCCATTTCTCCTGTGGGAGCAGGGACACTCATGGAGTCTGGATGGCGGACTGGCATTCAAGCACACGGGTATGTGGGGTAGGGAGGGGGCAGGGAAATCAAGTCATTCACATTCCCTGTCCAAGACAGAGGGAGGATGAGGGGAAGCAGCTTCGCTTACCTCAGTTAATTGTGGGTAAACATAGGTCCTTATACCCAGTGACCAGAGAAGACCATGCTCAATGACTGAATGCTCTGTAAGTCCCTACATAACTGCTTAACACTTTGTGAACGGACAGGCCATTCTTTGCATTGGGCCTGTGAATTAACGCTTGAACTTGCTGTATACCTCAGGCTGTACAGTGCTACTGCATTGGTAATTATGCCAAACCAGTACTCAGCACAAGGAGGTGATTTTTAAAAAGGCACATGTTTGTATAATGAGTGTTTAAGAACACACCAGAGGCTCTTGATGCTACAAAAAATATCTCAGGAACCTATCCCAGGAACCTGAAGTGGAACCTCTGTATTCAACTATGCTCTGCTGTGTTCCTTCTCACTCTTAAAGTAAGCATGCCACATTTTACTTAGTTATCACAAAACACCAGTAAAAGATGTACTTCTAAGACTGACTAATTTGGCTTCCAACTTAAAATAGAAGAATGGCAGTTCTCAGAGGCTGGCAGCTCTTGCCTGAGATATCATTCAAAGAAAAGGCTCCTGCAGCCTCCCCCTGGCAGAACAGGCTTCTAGTTCGTTTTAAGATTCAGACTGGATAGGATCCCAGCTTTGGTTGAAGGTTTCTTGTAGGCCTTGTCTCCTGGCACTGTTTTGTCTCCAGTCTCACATCTTGAAGTAGAACTGGCAAGCATACCCTCTGTATGCCTTTAGCATATTTTCACATCCACCAGATGCAGTTCAGGATGCCATACTCAACAATGAGCATTCCCATTCCAAGGTCCGAGGTATTTGTTAGGCAAACTGGCAAGGAAGGTTTTGATCAGGTGTGCTCTAACATCAGCCTTAATGCCAAAGGAGGGTTCGTAGATGAGGAAGCCACCACAACTGTCAAAGCCTAGGAAGCAGCAGGTGTGGTGTGCCCCTGTCCTGAATGTCCTGATTTTGGTAAGCAAAAGGTAATAGTAGAAATATCAGTGGTCTAGAAATAGGGTCAAGGGTGATTAAAGTTGTGGCCTGGTTTCCCTAGGAGGAAAAGTTTAATAAATGAGTACTTTACAGCTTGGAAAAGAGATACTGAATGAAGGGCAATAGTGATAACCACTGTTTTTCTGTAACACCAGAGCATATGAAAAACATAAAAACATTGCGTGGCAGGTCTAAAATGTAGACAGATTTACTACAGCAAAGATCACAGGATCATTTAATTTCACTTTTGCAATTGTTAAATGCTCATGAAAGATGAGACACCTCGCCCCTGGAGTGATGTGATTCACAGCATGCTGAGGAAAGAAAGGAACCTGAACCTTACCTTTTTTGATCAGTCTCCTACCTATTAGGATATTAAAAAAAGGTTTTCCTACATCTGTGTTTTAAACGGAAGCAGCTACTACTATCCTTTGTGAAAAACTTAATCCTGAACAGGCTGAAGCCACATTAACTCCTGAATCAAGTTTCTTGAAGGACTTAGATTGAATCCTAACCCCAAATTTCATTTCTGAAGTCAAATCTTGATATAAACATGAATTACACACTTTGCAGATTAGAGGTCTTAGTAGGCAGACAGACAAACATTTAGGCAGTGAGATACTTTTTTCATATCAAAAACCATTGCCACCTTTGAAGTTAAAATCAAGTGATGGCGAAATAAGTGGCACGATGAGAACAGCGTCTCTGTCATGTAGCAGTTTAGGGAACATTTCTCGCACATTCTGAATACTCGGAAGAGGTAAATAAGAAATCTAATAAATGTGAGAAACTGGGAATCACACTGGAAAAGGAGAGCAGGCATTTCCTTGCTGAAGGTACTAATTTTCTTCATAAATGAATCACTCAGCCCATCACCATAATTGTTGTCATATCCAGACTAGTTTGTCATTCAACTTCCAGAACTCTGCAGACCTGAGCTGGGAAGTTAATCTCATCTCTGCTTCTGATGATCACTCAGCTTTAGCAAAGCAAATGCCTTTCATTTGTATTGAACATGACTGACAAGCCAGAACCACGATCAATGCAACAGAGCACTGCTGCCAGACAAGACACTACCCAATATCCATTGCTAAGGATATACAGAACAGCCACAGTTAGAACACTTGTTGTCAGTCTTTCATTCCCCAAAATCAGTGGATTAAAATCAGAGAAACTTACTAAGTAGCTATGCTTGTGAGAGCAACCCCAAGAAGTAACTACAGATGCATATAAAAATAGACCAATTCTAGAGCATCTTTGCGATTTATTGTTCAGCTTTCCCTCTTCTAAATGGTTAAAAATCTATCACTCACTGCAGTTATCTTGCTAGTCTTGTTTTCTCCTGTCTCTTGTCTACTGCTTTCTTCTTGGTATAGGAGATAAGAAGCAATACACTCAGGCTATATTACTAGTCTGTGTCAGCTTCATATTTATCAGTCAGCCTGGACAAGGTATCAGTAGAACACTACTATGATTCCTTACATTTCTCACTCTAACAAATAGCATTGGGCTTATTTGCCACATCAATTTGCATAATGTAATCAAGCTTATCTTATCCTTAGGTCTAATGTGAGACTTTACAGTACATAACAACAATTTTATCACACTGAAGCCCTGTCATCATTATTTTGTATTATAGCATGTTTCTTTTACTTGCATTTTTTAATTGACAAATTAAAAAAGTTTTTTAAATTTTTGAAAATGCAACTTATCTTTCCTTATATTGTCTCCTTGTTTGAGAGCAAGCCAGTTTCTGAAGGGCAGAGGAGTGAAAACAGGCT